AGTGGGTATGATAAATTATTCAAGATATCAGAATCTGTTTTTAATAATTCAACGAAGCTGTCGAATCAAAGGTGGTTGATATTGAATATTCCTTTAAGGGGGGGGGGCAGGTGAATTTTCAGCCTACCTTTAAAAAAATCGCAGGAGGCTGATAATTATATTTATAACGTAGTTTTTCCCGCTGAATCGAATGGCGTTATCAGAAATTAAAAAAAAAAATTTTTTATGCTTATTTTGGCCGTTTTTCAACAAAAAAAAAATTTTTTTTTGGGTTTTTATTTTTTTTTTGTGGAAGGAATCAATATTTTTTAAAACCCATGCGCTATCTTCTTTAAAATAATAAAAACTATATACAAAAAAATTTTGACCTCAAAATCTCAAAAATTGAGGGAGGAGTAGCATTTTTTCGAAAGCCACTTTTTTTTCTTTTTTTTTTTTTCAAACAGCACTAGCTTTTATGTATAATAAATATGAAGATGTGTAATCGATTAGTGTATTCAGTGCGAACTTGAGATACAGTCAGACGTGAACCTAGTAGTTATCACTGTCAATCATGCCTCGACGTAAAAATCGGTCGGTGTATTATAGTGAATTGGCAACAAAAAAATGGAAAAAAGCTTCGTGTCAGAAAAGCTTACGTTCACAAATGAAAGCGGATGCCATAGCGAATATTAGTGAAAGAAATAAAAATGAAAACAATGAAGCAGAAGAAATAAATGCAGTGTCTGAAGAATTTTATGAAGATATAACTGAAACTACAGCTGAAGAAACGATGGATGAGTGCGACCAAGAAAAAGTTAGTGAATCGCAGTACATCTTGCTCGATTTTTCACAAATATCGTCATTATTGTCAAAAACGAAGTGTGTCGATTGCGATCATAGTACATTGCGTTTCGAGTTAGATTCATAGTCTTGGGGGTTCTCGAGGAAAATTGTTTTGAAATGTTCATACTGTGAGTTGCTTGGATTAGAGACAGATAAGACAAGTATATATACGTCAAAAAGAGTTTGCACCAAAAGTAGTAGCAGGCCTCCTTTCGATGTGAATGTAAGGCTGAGCTTAGCATTTTTGTATGAAGGTAGAGGCTATTCAAGCATACAAAATTTTGCTATGATTATGAACATGCAACCTTTTTCCTGTGCTTCTTTCAAAGATCATATGGAACGAATCGAAACTGCTGTTGATGAGTCGACTGAAGTGATTTTGAACGAATGTCGAACTGTTGTCAAAGATACATACACAAGTTCATGTGTGGTTGAAGATCAACAAGTCGATAGTGACAGTGACGAAAACAGTAACTCTGACGACGACGAAGAAATGAATTGTGACAGTGACAATAGTTCTTATTTGATTTCTAATGACGAATTAGAAAGTGCAGCAAAAATTCGAACGGAGCAAGGGCTTGAAAAGAAACTGAATTTAGGTGACAGTTATGACGGTTCGTGACCTATCAAAGGTTTTAGATCGCAAGTTGGTTTTGCCAGTGTAATTGATTTGGTTACTGGATTCATCATCGATTTTGATATTGCAACGAAGTTTTGCCAAGAATGTTCGTTCACAGCAGCTCTATTGGGTGAAGATTCGCCGGAATTCGAGTTTTGGTCGCAAGGTCATGTCGGCCAATGTCGTAAAAATCATTCAGGATCGTCAGGAGCAATGGAAGCTACAATTGCTGAAAACTTATGGAAACGGTCCGAAAATTATGGATTTCGCTATACGAAAATGCTTTCAGATGGGGATTCAAAAGCATTCACTCATGTCGTATCGTTGAATCTTGGAGAAGATTATAAAATAGAAAAAGAAGAATGTGTCAATCATCATACAATTTGATCACATTTATTTATTATCAATAACTATCCAGAGTCTATGCTGGTATAAAAAAAATTATAAAAGAAGAAAGGAGCAGAAAAGTCACTTTGGGAGGCAAAGGTCATGGTCAACTCAAAGACACGACAATAAAAAAACTAACAGAATATTATAAAAAAGCAATCGGCCAAAATAAGCATAAAAAATTTTTTTTTTTAATTTCTGATAACGCCATTCGATTCAGCGGGAAAAACTACGTTATAAATATAATTATCAGCCTCCTGCGATTTTTTTAAAGGTAGGCTGAAAATTCACCTACCCCCCCCCCCCCCCCCCCCCTTAAAGCATCGAATTGAAGAATCTAGGTATTAAAAATAAAACACTATGTAATAGCTTGGGAAATCACTCAATTTGTTACAGTAGCTTCATTGAAAAATATTATGAAAATTGAAAATGTGAAACTTTTAGAGTTGAAACTAAACAACTGTTTACAAGATACGGTGTAAGCAACGTACATAATTCCGATGGAAACTAATTTAATTTGGAGATTTACAGTGGTAAAATATTAATTTATAGAGGAATGATAAAATTAAAAGCAAGGCACAATCATCATTAACATACAGTTACACTATTCAACCTGTTATATCAGAAGAGGGTAATTTTCATTTACCTTTATTTTTAGTATTGAAAGAAGCAAGTGGAAACTTTGGACTTTGAGTTAAATAGTGCAACGATTATCGAAAATCGTTTAGATCCGCGTACCGGATTAAGAGCGAGCGCGTTCGGTTAGCGAGAGAGAGAGAGCGCGTAGGGGCAATGACCGGGAGGGGAGGCTCCGACCGGCAGTATGACTGTGTCACTCAGTCAGTGCGTCGCGCTAACCTGTTCCCGAGCCGAGTTTTGTGTTTGGTGGTGTGCCAATAGCAGCAACAGCAGCAATAGCAGCAGTAGCAGCATCAGCAGTAACAGCAGCAACAGCAGCAACAGCAGCAACAGTAGTAGCAGCTATAGCAGCAACAGAAGCAACCGCAGCAGCAACAACAACAACAGCAGTAGTTTCGGTGGTGCGGCAAGCAGCGAAGCGGCGTTTTAACGATTCGCTAGTCGGATACGGTTGGCCACCGTATCCTCGTCGTTCTCGCGGTAGGTGCACCTTCCCTTGTTTCATTTGTTGTTAATTTGCGTGCGATCCCGCGCAGCGAGCGCGAAGAATTTGTTTGTGGCGCGCGAGTGATTAGTTCGCGGCATCCGTGGTTTTCTCTCTCTCTCATTTTTAGCGTGTATTTTCATTCACGCGAGCGTGCGCAAGACTCTCGGCAGATTCCCCGTGTCATTGATTTAGTTGAATAAATCAATCATTATACTTATTTAAACGAGTTTCGGTTATTGTGTCTTTCCTTTGTCCGGAGGTCGCGTCAGTGTTTATTTTCAGTGGATTCGAATTCGCCGGTTGCGTAGCACGAATCGTGCGAATACCGATAGACGCGAATCGACAACTCAGGTTCCAGCGGCGGCCGCACGAACGCTACTAGCAAGGGGCGACAGCGCCGCCAAGCGGTGAGTTGGGGGAACCCAACTCGGAATAGTGAAGAGACTCTGCCCAGGCGCACTCCGAGGCAAGGTAGGTTACTGTGCTTTGAGCACATAGATAGCAAGGCTTCGTCTAGTCGTAATAAAGGGCACTTTTAAGAGATTATCGACTAAATGGCAGCCTGTTACAATAGATATTATTGAGACATACGATAAGAAATGTATTAATATGAAAGTATTTTCAAAAAAACACTGAGAATTCATCGATTTTCCTTTGTGTTTCCTGGAGTAATGCAATAATACCGTATAATAATTAGTACCGAAAGAAGTAAGTTTAAAGTCAATGGCAATATCACCTTGTACGACAGGTATAATTTGGACTTTAGATGTTTAAGGTTGTCGCTTCTAGAAAAATTTTGTAAGAAAGCTATCTAATATCATTATTTCACTGGAATAAAATATTCATTTACGCGAAAGAAATTTTATCATTAAAATGCAATCCGTCATACATAATTAGTCATCTTCTCCGAGATATTAGAATAGCTTCAAGTATTCATCGTACAAAAATGGTTATATTGATAGATTTTCAAAATAAGATAATCCTGTTGAATTTTGCTTTGCCATACAAGAAGAACCTCTATGTAACTTCGAAGACAATACTACAATTATAATTTGTAGTTGGTGTAAAAAAAAGTTATGCATAAATCATTTGTTTTTAGGATATTATTTTTGTTAGAATTATATACAATAGTTACATGAAACAGTTCTCAAAAATAACAAGCATATGTATATCATAAAGAAAAAGTTGTATCTGATGACTGTTGATATCTATATAAATATATCTATTAAAAGAAATAAATAAATAATTATATGATTCATGTGAAATGTTTCAGATGATGTCAAGACGTCTTCGATCGTGCACAGTGTAGTTTTTTCTACGAAATCTCTTTTCGATCGTTTTCTTTGTCGATCGTCGCATTTGTTTATTGTTAAAAATAACCAAAAATATTGTAAACAACGAATTTGCATCAAATTTTGCTTTACACTTGAAAAGACTTGTGCGGAAACGGTTACAATGATACAAAACATCTTTGGAATGATTGCTCATTGATAGTGCGGGAACTGGAATATGATCTTCGAATTCCCAAAATCATAGCTTGGAAAATTTCAACTATGAAACTCAGAATGATTCTTGTGTGTTTGTGTATGTATGTATGTGTGTGTGTGTGTGTGTGTGTGTGTGTGTGTGTGTGTGTGTGTGTGTGTGTGTGTGTGCGTGCGTGCAAAATTCATTCTACAATTGCTCAGAGAAGAGAAGAACAAGCTTCTTTTAAAAACCACTCAGGAGAACTTATAAATAATTTTTGATGATCGAAATGAACTCAAAAAGATCATTACTGATAATAAATTATTGGTTTATGATTATGATCCTGAAACCAAACAACATTTTTTACAAAGGAAACATTTTAGTAATATTGCGATAGTTTTTATAAGCATGAAAAATGAAAGGAATAAATGGCATTTTATGATCTTTAATCGCTACTATAGTAAAATGGAATTTTTTTCATAGAATAAGATAAATTTTTTTAATTTTAATGTTTAGCGTTTTATATTGTTTTTAACAACATTAATAGATAAGAATATTAGATATATCTGAACATACCATAACTCCGCTTAATGCATTTTTCACATCTGGTTTTCCTGCCATATGATTCTTGAATAATCTTGACATGTCTTCAATTTTAGCATTAGCGGCTAAATTTTTGGCATTATCAGTCAAACTTTTGAACATCATCTACGGAATAGAGGACAATAATTGAATGTTTTGAATAGTGTTCCATTTTGAATATAAAGAGCCTAGCCAGATAAGATGGTCAAATCCACCCCCCCCCCCCCCCCCCACCCCCAAGGTTTAGGCAACGGAATAGTAGCTTCTTATAGGGCTTGATAAAAGACTCTTCTAGACAAAATTTCAAACCCCTAGGTGCCCAGGGGGGCCCTATAGACCCAAAAACCTAACAAATCGTTTTATGATGATATCTCGGTCAACTTTAGAGCTAGAAAAAAAATTAAAAAAGCAAATTATAGGATTTTTAAAATTCTTCAAATCTATCAGAACGAAAATAATTTTTGGCACAAAATTCAAATTTTAAATCAGATTGAAACATTTAAAATTTATTTAAAAGAAAACAAAAAAACAACTAGCTGGAAAAAATATATTTTGTTCATTTTTCGTTATTCTATATGCCTGAATTTATTTAGATTTTTAGAAGAGGTGGAATACCAAAAAAAAATTTTTAATTTATCCATTTTCCATGTATTTTTTGGTTATAAAGACGATGAACAACAGAGGCTTCTCGTGCATGACTGATTCTTTTGCATTTTCTTTAAGTATATTTTCTATAAGTGCCGTTCCAGGAACTACTCTCGGGCTACCTTGCGATTACACATAGCTACTTTGCGATTACACATAAACAGCCTGGCCTATATCAAGCACTGGTCGCATCAATCATTTAGTTACCTATACTCAATATGATCACAAAATCAATGAAAACTCTGTTTTTATTTTCTTTGTCCCAATAGACTTGGCGTATAGTTGAAGAAAATCTTCATCAGGAAGTATCGAAAAACCATTTAGAAATAATTTGCGCAGAGACTGTTCGGTAGAAGCAAGCGATTCACAGTGCGCCATGTCTCTGTACCATCATCATCGTCTTACAGTATTTTTTTGTCTTCATGGAGTCTACCCATATTTCTGCGCCGTATAGAAGGATCGAGTGAGCTGTCGCCATTAACAGTCGTCGTTTTCCCGATCTCGGTCCCGTCGTATTTGCCATCAGGCGACTCAAGGACCCACCGCCGCCACGTCATCACGGTAGGCGACGAGGGTCACTCCGATCGGCATCCCAAGCCGAAGCAAGCTATCGTATAAGCCATTCCAGAAGTCAGGTCCCAGTATCGACCCCTGTGCCACCCCAACGGTGACCTGTCTCGTTACTTGTCCTACGATCGTCTCGTATGTTATCTGTCTCTTTTTTAAGTAATTCTCCACAACCCGAAGCGGGTATGGCGGGATCCCGAAGTTGCTTTTCAGCGCCTCCAAGATATCCCTCCACTTGGCCGAGTTGAAAGCATTTCTAATGTCGAGCATGGCCAACAACACTATAGGTCGCGCTGTGTGGCAATGTCTGTCTAGTTCCAGGAAATAGTCGACCACCTTTTGGATCGCTCCAGTCGTCGACCGAACCCTCCTGAAACCGAACTGCAAATCTGATAAACCCCCCTCCGGTCGGTATCGCATTCATCAGTCTCGGTCTCAGTAATTGTTCAAAGAGTTTACCAGTCGCGTTAAGTAAACTCAACGGTTGGTAAGCCGAAGACGTGCCAGGATCGCTTCTACCTTTTGGGATAAGAACGAGCCTTACCACCTTCCACCGGTCGCTGAACGTTCCTGTCACCAAGCACGTGTTGTACAGGTCGAGGAGTATCTCCGGCCGTAGACGAGCCACAAGCCGGAGGATCTCGGATGGTACTCCGTTCGGTCCCGGTGCCTTGCAAGTCTTCATCGCATTCATTGCTCTGATGAGTTCCTCAGCGGCAAAGGCAGGGGGCATTTGTGCGTCCACGTCATCCATCACGTTTGTCCGAATCGGGTGCATCGGAAACAATCCGTCAACAATCCGTCCTGCTGTTTCGGCATCTTTAAGTTCCGGTGAGACTCGGGCTCCTAGTTTCCCGGTCACGATGTTGTAGCCGGTTCCCAGGGATCCTGGTTTACCTCCTCGCAGAGCTTCCTCCAGCATCGCGTCTTGCTGTGTCGTATTGCTTTCGTCAGCGTCTTCTGGGCTGTTTTGTATATGGCTTGGAGATTTTCCCTTTCGGGTCCACCCCCTGCCCTTGTCAGTCGTCTTCGATTTGTCAAACGTATTCTTCGTAGCTCGGCTATCTCGTTCATCCACCAGTATTGTGATTGTATTTGTTGTATCTGTCGACGTTTCAGCATTGTGCTTCTGCACAAGATGTCTATTAATTTGGCGGTCTCGTCTGTCAGTCTTTCCGCCGCCGTCTCTTGTATGAGCCACAGCAGTTCTGTCACGTCTCGTGTGTCGTTTGTCATTGTGGATGTTCGTCCTGTCGTCGGTTCTTGGCTGTCAGCGGCAGAGTCGTAGCTCAGCCCGCTGCCGCCGCTCGACACGTTGTTCGTCCTCTGTCGTCTTAGTAGGTTCAGTAGGCTCTGGTTCGTGTCGTTGATTCGTATCTAACTCCTCTTCTCCGTCCACAAAGTACGGCCCTCAAAATCCGTGCCACGGCCTGTGGTCACCGGAGCTTTCACCAGATCGGAACCCGGGGTCGATTCCCCTTAAGAATGGGTTACCACTTGAGTAAATCTATGTTTTTTTTGTGCATGTTCATATTTTTGTTTCGTCCCGTTGTGCTAAAGGTCCCTCGTGGTCGCGACTCCGCGAACCGCGCTGGAATAACTCACGGCCCCTAAGGTCCCCCTTCCTCTACCCGAGTGTGGTCAGTGTTCCCCCTGTAGAGTGTGCGTGATTGTGAGTCCCCATAGTGGCAAACCGGGCTTCGTTCACAAGGAGAGCCCAATTAGAGGGATCCCCCTCATTCGCTTTCGGGCAGCTCCGTTTATAGGGATCCCCGGCATTGGCGCTTTTGGTAAGCCCCGTTAATAGGGTCGCCAAGCATTCATTCATCCCGGTTTGCCAAAAGGCGTGTGTGTGTAAGTGTTTGTGTAATGTGTGAGTGTAGGTGTGTGTAAGTGATTAATGGTTGGGCACATCAACAGATTACCATTATTTTTTGCGTCATTTCTGAACCATATCTTCCTCTTGGCCGTGTCCTAGCTAGCATTTGCACAGTGAGGTGTAACTACTCATTGGACCAGCTCGGCTACTGGACCAGCTAGGCTACTGGACCAGCCCGGCATTATTATTATTATTATTATTATTATTATTGGCAATTTATTGTGGGTGCCTTTAATTTGTGAGTTGAACGAAAAATTTACGTGTTTGTACATTTTTTCTAAGGAATTTTCCGTACGACGTGTGGGCCCAATAAACCTATAACGTAAGCCTAACGCCTATAATCTATTTTATTTTTTTAAGGCATTAACAGTAATTGTACTAATGAACGATGAGGACAAAATCGTTTGTTTATTTGACGAACTATCAAATAGCATAATTATTTTTAACATTACGTAAAAAAATTGATTTGAGTTGTAACTTTAAAGAGAGTAATCTAGTTATATTATTTACATTGACATGCAATCTGCGCCACGTGTATTGTTTACATGTTTTTATGTAACGTTTCTTTCTTCATCCCTGATTATGTAATTATTTTGACTTTTAAAAAACTCATTTAATTTTTTCATGGTATTCAACAAAAAAGTTCACATTGAAAATGTAATTTTTTTAAAAGCTTATTTTTGAAGTTAATGTGAGTATTAGTAGTCTACACCTATAATGTAATCATAAAAATTCATGTTCCAGAATTGTACTTCAACTAATGTGATTTATAATTTTCACAAGAAAAAATCTCTTAACTTACGAGGGTGGTCCGAAAAGTACTTAGCCTACAAAAGAAAAACGAAAATTTTGGAAAAGTGGCCTTTTATTTTTCAACATAGTCTCCTTTTAGTTCGATACACTTGGCCCAGCGATGCTCCAACTTCTTTAACCTGTCTGAAAAATACGTTTCCTCGAGGTCTGAAAAGTAGGCTTCCGTGGCAGCGATTACCTCCACATTCGACTCAAATTTCTGCCTGGCGAGTGACTTTTTCAAGTTTGGAAACAAAAGAAGTCGCACGGAGCTAAATTTGTAGAATACGGTGGATGGCGCAGCAGTTCGTAGCCTAATTCGACCAATTTGGCCATGGCGACGGCGGAGGTGTGAGCCGGTGCGTTGTCATGGTGGAAGAGCACTTTTTTCTTCGCCAAATGGGGTCGTTTTCTCTGCAATTCGACATCGGATCGGCCCAATAATTCGGCATAGTACATCCCTGTGACCGTTTTGCCCCTCTCCAGGTAGTCGATGTAGATCACACCTTGTGAATCCCAGAAAACGGTGGCCATCACCTTTCCGGCCGATGGGGCAGTCTTCACCTTCTTCGGAGCACTTTCGCCGGGTAAAGTCCACTGTTTCGATTGTTCCTTGGTCTCTGATATATACCAGTGGATCCATGTTTCGTCGACTATCACGAAACGACGGAGAAACTCCTTCGGATTGCGCTTAAACAGCGTCAGACATTGCTCTGAAGTTGTCTCACGGTTGCGCTTGTTGTCCGGAGTGAGCAATCGCGGCACCCATCGCGCAGACAGCTTTCTCATGCCCAAAATTTCATGCATGACCCACGTGGTCTATTGAAATGCTTACAATCTTAGCTATCTCGCGCATCTTCAATCGTCGATCTGCCAATACGAGATCGTGAATTTTTGTCACGTTATCCTCCGTGGTAGCCGTTTTCGGAGCACCTGGACGTAGCTCTTCAAAAATCGACGTGCGACCATGTTGAAACTCGTTAAACCAATTTTTGACGGTCGCCATCGAAGGAGAAGAGTCACCGTACACAGTATCCAAGCGCTTTTTGATTTCGCTGCGCGATTTCCCTTCCAAAAACAAGAATCGAATCACCGACTGACACTGCTCTTTTTCCATTTTTCAAAAAGCAACGGACACACTTGCTTTCACACACTCTCAAAAATAAACTACAACTCGGATCCGGCTGAAATCTTGACAGTAACCATCGAGCAGGTTGTACTACGTGATATAATATTTCTTTTG